TGTCCAACTGTTCCTTTGACCATTCAACCAGTCGCTATGACGCAAACTGACCTCCAGGAGGCAGTTGCTCCGACCAGTAGGTTATCTTACTGCTGGGGTCTAGCTGATCGGAACGAGGCGAGATGGGCTGGACATGCCCTGGAGCCCTCCTGTGGTCCCTCCCTGGCCCCAGTCGTGCACTGGTGGGGTCCTTCAGCCTGGTCCATGCCCTCTCACAATCTGAGACCCCTCGAGGGATGTTGGCGAGCCAGTTTCAGCTCTATCCCTGCAGGCCAAGCCAAGGGACCCCACCAGTGCACAAATCTGTGCACCGGGCCTCTAGTAAATAATACTATCAGAAAAGTATTAAACATCTAGCTGAAGGAATAGATATAGCAAGTTTTAGTATTCATATTATATGCAGCCAAGAAAAGTTTATCAATGAGTTTCTGGTTGAAACTGAAGAGAAGAAAAGGTAAATGCTTAAATATAACAAAGAATAAAATGTAAATAAAAATAATTGCAGAATGTTTATTATTAACCATGAGTAAAAATAGTATCTAACTTGTAGGGCTGATGTGAGGACCAAATGAGATGATAATGTGAAAGGCTAGGCTCAAAAAAAGTCTTCAATAATTGTTGGATATTGTATGAAATAGTAAATTTCCTTCCATATACTTTTATTTTAATTATAGTAACAAAATTGTTCCGAGCTTTCATAAGTTCACTTAAGACCTTGGTGCCTGGCTTTAATTTTTCCAGAAGGTATTGATTTTTCTCAACCATAAGTTTTTCAATGCAAGTAGTTTTCATGTACCAAGCCTGCAAAGCCAATGTGGACAATGCATTCAGGGTCTTCCATGAACCCTAAGAGAAAACTCTAGATGAGTTGCCTGAGAGGGCCTTGGAGGGAACTTTCCCTTAGACCTTGGGAAGGGTGAAAGAAAGGGAGAGCTGGGCTATGCAATGCTGAGTTCTGCTCAGATTCCAGCCTTCAGCCTAAAAGAGTTCATCTGCCTGCCCCTGTGAGGCTTAAACTCATTGACAGAGCTGCAGGGGGTGCCTAGGGGAATCTCTATATTTACAGAAAGCACAGTTAGCAGTTCCTTTTTGGACCCAGTCCAATCCATTCTTAGTTTTGTATCCTAATCTCTTTAAGATGCATTTTCTATTATCCCTGATTGATGGACTGCTTAAGCAAGACGATCTAGCATTGAGGTAGTCTGGGTTTTTCTCTCTCTATTTCTCACGCTCCATGCTCCACCAAACCTGTTCATTATTCATCCTGAATATATAGGCATCCCTCTACTTTCCCTCCTCACTTCCATGACCCAGGTGTAGACACTGATCATCAACCCCTGGGACTATTGGGGTGGGGGGCATGTTACTGTCTCTTTTCTTCTTTTCTCTTATTTTTCAAAGCTTTCTAGAACAAAGAGCAAACAGAAGTAATCTTTATTAAAGTTAAGTTGGCATTTCACTTCTCTGTTCAGTGTTCCTTAGGAGCTACCCCTTAACCTATAGGACATATTTTGCAATCCTTCTTGTGGTCTTCAAGGATCTCAATGATGTCTCCCGCCAACTGTCCCATTCAGGAGGTTGGATCTTTAACTTCCAGCCATCTACCAGTGAATCATGTGTAGTTCCCTAAACTACCCATGCTCTCTACCCTCTGAATTTATACCTGCCTTCTACTCTACTTAAGTCCCTCTCCTCCTCCTTCTGCATTCCCATAAAACTCTTGCTTTTCTCAAGGCTGTGTATGTGTGTGTGTGACCTTCCTGACACTGAAGGTCTTTAATTAATTTACTCATTCATTTATGATTTTGTTCAATATTTACTGAGCCTCTAACATGCATGAGCCCTTAAATGCTCTTTCTGTTGTTCCCATTGAAAGTTCCTACTTGTTTATAGCAGCGCTCACAATTGTGCTGAAATTATCTTTGTTTTCTATCTCTTTCTATAAATAGTAGCAGACCCTAAAAGACAATGGCTATGTCTTTTAATTTAATTCCTACAGCATAAAACTGTATCTGGCACATAACAGGTACACACTCAAATAATTGTTAGATGAAGAAACTTAATTGGAAGAGCAGGAAAATTAAAGAGCTAATTGAATTATGGCAAGAAAATGAGGATCATTCTAATGGGAGTTGCCTATACTGTGATCCTGCCTAGAACCAACCCATGTTCTCCTTGCACTGGGCAATCACACTGGGTAGTTGTTTTGTACTGCGCCCTTCCTTCCGGTTCTTCTCCTACTTTTGTGTGATATAGTTGTTCATTCTGAATGGGCATACTGCCCACTTATTACTCAAAAGAGTGAATGGGTAGGAACCCTTATTAGTAATGACGAATTTATGATAAAATAATGTCAGGAGATATTGAGCAATAGTGTACACACCCAAATAACTCTTTTTTAAAATCCCACCCAAAGATATGTTTTTCCATTGATTTTTTTTAGAGAGAGTGTCGTGGAAGGAGGAATGGGGACAGAAGAGAAACATCAGTGTGAGAGAGACACATTAATTGGTTGCCTCCCACAAGCACCCAGACCAGGACCAGGGATCAAGCCTGAACCAAGGTATGTGCCCTTGACCAGGAATCGAACCTGAGGACTAGGTCAATCCTCTAACCACTGAAATAAACTGGCCAGGGCCCCAAAGAGCTTTTAAGAACCATATATCTCTTTCCCTTTTAGGGAAAATAGCACTTAAGCTATTTTCTGTATCTAATACACAGGCAACCGGTTTCGATGGAGAGTAATTATTCTCCTGCTTAACTGGATGCAGGAGATGGGCATTCTGATGGACATCGTGAAACATTATATAGTCCTGTTTCCAAAATATTCCCTTGATTTACTTTATTTTGAAGGAATTTCATGGAACACGGCAGCACATGTGTAACTTTACATGGTGATTCCTTCATTGCTCAGCTATGGTTACGTACCTTTGTTTTTTGGGCAGTATTGGTATAGTTCCAAACATGATTACTATACCATATTTTGAGGTTTTAACTCCAGAATGAATTTGAAAAATACTTGTAGTATCTGATGCTATTTATATAATATACTAATATGTTCTTATTATGGCATCATGAGCAGTAAAAATATTGAATTCAATATGAATAAAGTGGATAAAGAAACAAAATTATTTTTTTTTTACCATCATACTATTTTGCAACTCACTTTGGTTCCAGTTTTCCTTTGGGCTTAATATCAACAATCCCTCAGTCCATGACCATTTTGGAGTGCTCACTCTGTACCGGGCATGGTGTTAGGCACTCGAGGTAGAAAGGATATCAATAATTACTAATTGAGCACCATGGACCAAGTACCATGCCAGGGACATAGCACATAATGTCTCAGCCCTCTTTTAATCAAGGTATGATTGACACATTATATTAGTTTCAGGTACACAATGCAATGATTTGATATTTGTATATATTGTGAAATGATCACCACAATAAGTCTAGTTAACATCTGTCATCATACATAGTTACACACTTTTTTCTTGTGGTGAGAATTTTAAAAATCTTTCCTAGTAACTTTCAAATATGCAATACAGTATTGTAAACTATAGTCACCATGCTGTATATTAGATCCCATGACTCATTTATTTTATAACTGGACCCCCTTCACACATTTCAGTCATCCCTCTCCCTTCATTTAACTCTTATAATAGGTGGCATTCTCTCTATTATAAGTAGCTAATATCTCTATGCCCAAAAAATGAAGAAACTGGTCCCTAAGAGGATTAAGAAAGATAAATAAGACCCATTTCTTTCTCTCAAGGGCCTTCTAATTCTACAATGAGAAACAATAACCTTGGGAGATCCTCAGAAAATGACACGCCTTCTAACCATTGCCATTCTCTTCTGAGCCAAACGAATTCCAGGGCCTCCAGGCAGAGCCTGCCTTCAGGTGCCTGTGAAGCTGGTACTGCCCGCACTCTGACAGGATGGAGGCCGGACTTCCACTCCTGAGGGCTGGTGGGACTAGACACTGGCCTGGGAGTGTACACTCTGAGCGGGACCTGCAGGGTTCTGATAACCCCTAAGATAAAAGTTGGTACCAACCTGCTTGAGTGAGTGTGGTCTCTGGGGCCCTCATGCAACTGGGGAATTGCTAAACAAGTGACTGAGTCCTGGGGCCTGGAGGGGATGTGAGGAGACTGGGCACTGCAAGTCCTGCCACCTCCCCCTGCCCCCGCCACTCAAGGTATCCCAGTGGGAGACCAACAGGCATTTTGGCTGCACTGTGGGCCTGCGGGGGCAGTAGTACTTGTGCTTTAGATGATGTATGGGACTCCAAAGCTTGCTGGGCCCCAGTGAGTAGACACAGGGAACTAACAAAGCACCAATATGGACCCAGCTTCCAAGGATAAGAAGAATGAGAAAGCCTGGCCTGCATGGCTCAGTGGTTGAACATTGACCTATGAACCAGGAGGTCACAGTTTGATTTCCGATCAGGACACATGCCCTGGTTACAGGCTCGATCTCCAATGTGGGGCATGCAGGAAACAGCCAATCAATGATTCTCTCCCAGATAATTTTATCTTGGAGTGCATGTGAGTGTATACAACTTTGCATTTACATATTATTTATTTAAGAAATTAAGTTCTAAAGATTTTTGAGGTGGCCATGATATAATGTTAACTTGAAAAGGATAGTGTGTAGAATGTGGTGCTATTCAATTTAAAAGTAACCAAGTCAAAGTGTGCACGTGTTTGCATGTGAATGTGTGTGTATGGGGTATGTGTGTGAGTGGCGTATGTATATATGTATTTGGACAGAGGAGAGAAAATTAAATGAGAGAAGAGATAAATTATTTCTGTAGTCTAATTTCTTTTCCTTAACTTGTTACCAGTCATGTACTGCTTCTGTAATTTGGAAAACATCAAATTAATATAAAACAGTTTAACGCGCTAATGTCTGTGTAATATAACATAGGAATGGGGTTTAATGTGGAATTGCGATTATACTTTGGGTGTAGTATTAACTCCATGCACTTTTATCCTCAGAAATTGCCAACTGCAGTTATGCAATGAGCACAGCGGACAAGTCAGATCATGGGTCCTTCTCCTCATTGTAGGGACGAGCAGATGTCTCCTCCGCAGTGACAGCAGCACTGGGCGCCTTGTGCAGTGGAGGAGGAGGAATGGTGCAGGCAAGTAATTCTTACAATAGGTTGAAAATCGCCCCTAGGGAGCATTTTGGAAAACGGAGGAGCTCTTTTGTCATTGCTATCACATGATGCTCTGAGGTCACACTTTGTACTTAATGAGTAGCGCCCAGGGATTCCAGGCAGCTAAAATGAGTGGCCCGGTTCACTGAAATGAAGTCGTATCCTAAGCCATGGACAGACATAGAAACTAGTTTAAAGTTATCTGAGCCTAGAACCTAACTCCTTCGGGCATAAAAACAGAAAGTAATTTTGCCCAGTTTACTATGTACTATATTTTCCATAGTGTACTGCGGCATTAATTGTAAGAAAACCATACTTTGCTTCACTCACAAGTTTATTGAGATTTGGTCACTGTTTCAGAATATCCTCAGCAGAGCACTCGTGGAGTTTAAGTCCCCAGTTCAGCATTCATGACAGTCACATGTAGGTACTTCTGCGTATAGATTTAACCATCAGACCAATCCAGTATGTCTTTCCCTATAGTTATGACAAAACATTCATTTTCATTGTGAATTACATAAAGAGCAAATTACTTTTGCTTTTTCTCTTTTTATTCCAACCGTAATAAATTGGAATTAATATTGATTTTTTGAAGTTATGCAAGGAGAGTCATATTATCTATGATTTTTCTTTCAGAATAGTAAAAGCAGTGACAAAAATTATTATTAAAAGGGGACATAGAGCCTGGCCGGTGTGGCGAAGTGGTTGAGCATCGACCTATGAAAGAAGGAGTCATGGTTTGATTCCTGGTCAGGGCATATGCCCAGGTTGTGGGCTCGGTCCCCAATGAGGGGTGTGTAGGAGGCAGCCCACCAGTGATTCTCTCTCATCATTGATGTTTCTCTCTCCCTCTCTTTTCCTCTCTGAAGTCAATAATATATGTTGCTATAGAGTCTGGTAGGGGGAGAATGACTCTGAGCCATGGAATGTGAGAAGGGAGCAGAGAGTAAGGCAAGAAGCTGCCAGAGTCCTGGATTTCCTCACCTTCAGGGCTCACATTTTCAATGCAGCCATGGAAACACCCACAGCTGGGAGAGCCTGGCATCGCCATGTCAGTGGCATGCACCCCTGGGTGTGTGGAGGGGAAGCTGCCAATACCTAGGATCATCCTCCCACCCTCACGGCCCAGGAGCTGGGGAGCTGAGTGGTGATAGGAGATGGGTAGGGAAGCCTAAGGTAGCACTTCTGCTTCTCTGTTTCCTACACCAGGAATGCAGAAGTTCCTACATTCCAGACTGGGGGGAAAACCAAGCTGCTGAGATGACTGATTCATATCAGAGGGCTCATCTGAGAACAAGAGGGGCATCAGACCAGGATGCTGAGACAGAGTCCAGTAGTGGGTACCACCTATCAGCTCCAGCCAAAGGCAGATGGGCCTACAAAACTCAACATTCACCAACCCAAGAACCAGAACAAATGAGTTACCCAGAAGCCAGAACCTGTGAAAAGGAAAACGATAGGATCAGGCACCCTTCTCTCCTCTGCTACGGGGTCACATGCATCTAAATGCCAAGAGGAAAACAGAAGACTAGGAATTTACCTGGACACAGGAAGTATTTACAGAAAAACACTGCTTCAAGGTGAAGGCCTGGCCAGAGCTTCCTGGACTGGGTTAAGTCTACTATTTTGCCAATCTATCTAGTGGAAGATCAGATCAGTTATTAGGAAAATTCAAAGTCTGCCTTGTCTTTACTATTTAAGTGAAGTAAAAATGAAATTACAACCTGGTGATAAATATTCTAAGACATGTTCTTTTTCTTTTTTTGATGCAGGGAAGATTTAGAAGCAGGAGGTGAAGGGAGAGTATCTCCAGGTTGGGAGGGAGCAGAGAAAGGGGAATTTCCAGACACAAGCCAAGTTTTTCCACTTGACAGTTTTGCCTTGGGCCTATCCTGTTTATCTTTACCTGGGCTCAGATAACTAGAAACTGAGGCCAAAGGCTTGTCTTTCCTCCTGCCTGACGGAGCAGAACCTGCTACAGAGAAAGGGGAAGAGAGAGGACACACTTTTGTGGAGGTGTTTTCTTTCCAAATTGGTCTGTATGATCTTTGCTTCCCAAATACAATTCTAAGAAGTGTATGAGTTTCTTTAAATTTTTCTCCTTTTACATTTCTTTACTATTTCACTTTCTGTTATCTCTTTTTTCTGCTTTCCTGCTCCAAGCATTCTTATTTTTATTGATTTTGGACCTTCACCACGACTGTGGGAAATGGAGAGAGTTTTAAGGGTGAGTCAATAAATTTAGTGCCAGGACAGAAGAAAGACATTTAACAGAGGGTATGGCCAACCTATTTGCCTACATTATCAATTTACTGTGCAAGAGATTTGGTTTAAGTTGTGAATAAAGATGTTGAATGATTTCAGGAAAGTATATGTCTAGACAAGAATGTAGGCATTCAAAAGAAGGGTCTTCCTTAGTCATCCAGCAATGCTTTCTGCACTATAAATACTGTTAGCTGCTGGTGACATAGCAGGGAGAAGAAAAACACACAATACTCTTCCTATTCTCATGAGGCCTTAGTTTTATGTGGGGATGAGAAACAATAAACACACATAAATAATATTATGTATCAGGTTATTAAGAACTCTGAAGAAAAATAAAACAGGTGAATGGATTAAACAGCGACTACCAAGGAGAGAGGGAGTGTAGCCATTTTTAAGTCCCCCTCCTCTGGAAGGGAACCTCTGAAAAGAGACCTAACTGAAGTGGAGAGCCAACCACTGTGATATTTAGAGGAGTGCCTTTGCCAACAGAGAGACCAGCAAGTAAGTGCAAAGGCCCTGGGATAAAAAAGTGTAGTATATCTGGCATATTCTAGGAGATCAAGGAGTCTGTGTGTCTGAAGCAGAGTGACCTAAGACGGGAGTGGTGACTAAGTTACTTGGCAATAATCAAGTCAAGTTAGAACTTTAGAAAACACTGGAAGGCCTTTTTCTCCCTCAGTGATATAGGATGACATGGAGTTTTGACATGAGTTTTGTTGAGCAGAGCAGTGACATAATCTCATGGTTTTGCCAAATCAATTTGGCTGCCGTGTTGAGAATACGTTAACAGGAAAAATCCACAAGTTAGAAGGACGTTGAGATGGGAGCAGAATGGGAATAGATAGTTGAGAAGCTGAGAATATAAAATATTCCAAGTAGGAAGTGGTGGTCAACTATGTTAAATGCCACTATGAGGACAGGTAAGTGTGTCCTTTGGAATTGGAATGCAAAGACAGTGTTGACAAGAGCGGTTTCCATAGGGTTGGGGACTGAAAGTCTGGTTGGAGTACTTTCAGGAAACTGAATAAAGTAGAGCCATTAGTAGAGACAAAATTTTTATCAATTTTGTGTAAAAGAGCAGAGATGAAACAGAGAGACCAGCAAGTAAGTACAAAGAGGTATAAAGAACGGTGAAGAGAAGTCAAGGAAAGTTTGTTTTGATTTCTTTGTTTTAAAATGGGAGTTTATAGCATAAGCTGTATATTGATCATCCCATTAGATAAGGGACAAGTGATGATTTAAGACAGGTTGGGGACATTTATAGACAAGAAGCCCTTGAGTAGGAGAGTGGGAATGGGGTCCAGTGGATAGACTCTAAAACCCTAAAAAGGTTTTGTGAAAGAGTTGATTTTATTTTCTTATTGGCTTTACTGGGGTATAATTGACAAGTAGAAATTGTGTATATTTAAGGTGTATAACTTGATGTTTTAATATATGTACACATTATGTAATGATCACCACAATCAAGCTAGTTAACATATCTACCACCTTATATAATTAATTTTCTCTGTGTTAAGAGAACACTTAAGATCTACTGTCTTAGCAAATTTCAAGTACACAATACAGTATCGGTAATATACTAATAGTATATATATACACATATGTATAACATTAGTATACATATTATTTTTATATATAAATATATATATATATATATATATATATATATATATATATATATATATAACATTTTTAATCCATATATGTATGGACAGACACACGTGGTTTCTATAGCTTGGCTATTGCGAATAATGCTACACCAAACATGGGGATGCAGATATCTCTGCTAGATAACTGATTCTAATTCCTTTGTATATATACCCAGAAGTAGGATTGCTAGACCATATGGTAGTTATGTTTTTAATGTTTTGAGGAACCTCTACAGTTTTCCATAATGACTGTACTTGTTTACAGTACCGCCAACAGTGTACAAGTGTTCTCTTTTTCCACCTCTTCTCCAACACTTGAGATCTCTTATCTTTTTTATAATAGCCATTTCAACAGGTGTGAGGTGATGGGTTGACTTTATATTTGAGTACAACCATTGCAACAGGAAGGAAAGCAAAGTACTTAGTAGAGATACAGTGAAGTATATATTGGGTGGTGGGAACATGTGGATATTCTTTTCTGATTGGTGCTTCTTTAGCAGTAAAATATAAAATAAGAGCATCAGCTGAAGCACAGAAGAACAGAACGTACATTAGAGATTTTGAGGAGAAAGGATAAGTGATGAAATAGGCATTTTGGAGAATGGTAAGGTAAAATGAATTGGGATAGAAAATAGGACAGCTGCGAGCACCATGGGCCCGCTGTAGGTAGTAGTCAAACATTTAACGTGAGGCAGGTCAGTAAGGCCATATGTCTTGTAAAATCATGTTCAGCTTCTCAAAGTCAAGCACATAATAAGCAAAAGTTAGATTCAACCAGAGTGGAGTTGTTGTTTTTTTCAGGCAACTGTACAGTAAAGGAATAAAGGGAACGATACTGTCAAGGAATTGTGTGAGGAGTGATTATAGGTTAGGAGGGAAGTGAGGATGTGAAGAGAATGAAAGGTAAAAGTTGATACAATCAGTCTGTCCATGAAATTGAAGACTCTTTGGATGGTATATAAAAGGGATTAACTTGCAACAAATAAAAAATGATCAAAGTGGGGTGTTTCACACAGAAGTTGTTGATATCTGTGGTTGGTGGCACAAGATCTAGGATATAACCTTGGAGCAGGTGGCTGAGGAGGTGAGAGAAAGATCTCTGGACATGAGGAGGTCAAGGCACCAAGCCCAAGGATATGGAGAAAATTCTGCACAATGTAAGGTACATGGATGTCAAAATCACTAAAGGTGATTGAAGAGTAGTGGCGGTGAGTCAGTGAGCTACGTGCTAAATTTCCCCTGAATGAGGAGGGGTGACCTTGGTGTTTACACATGATAGAACAAGGCTGAACAGGGGTGGGGTGGGGGTTGCTATGATAGGAGGTTGCCATATGGCATGAACTTCAAAGGAGCTGGGATTGTTTTTTTAAAGGAATGAGGTTTGGAAGTACCAACAGAAACCAAGAAGAGCATTTACCCCAGGCTCTAGATTGATGGGATATAAGAGGTGAAAAAATACCACCTTTTTGGAGGGTACTGAGGATTCTGTAGCCACAAGGGCACCAGAAAACATTTAAAGAAGAATTCAATAATTCCAGGAATTGAGTTAAGTTACCAGACATTGCATAGGGCACATGGGAAGGACTTGAGGGAAGAATGGGGGAGTGGAAGATTGCTCCAGAGTAGGGGATATTACGATCCATGTGGGGATGAGAGTTTAAGTAATGAGAGATGACTTGGGGGTGACTGAAGCGAACAGGAATGTAGGGCTTGATGGGTTTAGTCCAGAAACA